GTTGTCACGCGCAAAAACCATAATATAATGACATTCCTAATCCTTTATGTAATATACGGTGTCTATCAGTTTGATTGATGTATATGTAACTATTGGTGATATACAACCTTGCTTACTAGGCTTTGGCTCATGAGCTTTGTTTCTGTTTTCCATCCACAAAAATTGCCGTGAACACCTGCCTCACTGAAAATCACTGTCCCCTGGTGCTTCCATAACACGCATATTACACTTCACTACTTGCACTCAGAGCTAACGCCTATGGGTCTTTCCGCCATGCACACCAGGCACATTGAAACGGGCCTTAGTGATTCGGGGACAGATGAACCATAAGTTTAACCTCACCCTCCCTAAGAATTTATGGTTCTCTTCAGCTCGCAAAGCAACCTCCGGGTAAGAAGCTCCTTGTCCGTCATCTCGGTGGATCTACTGCCATAGTTTTCCACGCGCCTGCTGTCATTTATCTGAAGGACAAGCTCCTTCTGATAGGATCTTTAAATGGAGACCACCAACAACTTCTTTATAACCTATACTGTAATTGTCCATGCCAAAGAAGAAAGCAGCTATCCTTCTTGATGTGTATAATATCTGCTACTTCCCCACGCCACCGAAAAAAGTTTACTCAACTAGATTGCCCCATTTGCCTTAGAGCTGCCGGTTGACTCGCATCCAGCGCTAAAAGCGTGACACCCGTTACCGACCGTGCTGTCTTCCTGCATTGCTATTTGGACGAATTTCATGAACAATCCAGGGAGGCGTTTTTATACTGCCTTGTTTTATGCCTCTCGTAACCCTGAAATAAATAATGCCAAGCTTAGTCATTCCTTACTTTCTAGGTTACTCGGCACAAATCCAACCCTATTAGGGCTCGGTCAAACGCTTGCTGTCGCTATCTCAACTGTGGTAAACTTTAGGTTTTTTCATCGCTGGATTCCTTACTACCTGACATTTCATCACACTCACCAGCCTGCACTTGCCTCATCCTACTCTCTTCTCTTTTTAAGGTTTTCCATTCGTCAGTGGCTGTTAGAAACGCCCAGTATGGCGAGTGTCCACCCAGGCTGTTCTCTGCGCTGCCTGTTGTCCTGAATCAGTTAGTTTAACCTGCGTGTACTCCTTGCCGGCGCGAAACATTACAGTCCACAAAAGTGTACAACCTTTTCATCTCAACCACGAAATTTGATACAAAGCTTTCAGAGACCGAGGTGTTTGAGAGTAATAATAGTCAATCCTCTTAAAGAACTTTTAAACCCGACCCCCACCCAAAAACGACAACAATATATGTACCAGCGTCAAAGTACAGTTTGATTATAAGGTTCACGCTACCCCCAAATACGCTTTTCGTGACCATGTATTCAACACAGTTGTCCAAGGGAGCGCAACCTCGGCCGCGGTTTCTATTTTTAGTTCAACTTAGACGAATGGTTAGCTCAAATACTCCTCATTACCCAGATTCGTTGTTTCAATTTTCTTCTTTCTGGAAATTACAGTTTCTTTTCACATATCAAACACTACGCTGTAGTTTTATCCGCTTCCGTTTTCTTGTCAATTGGCATAGTCGAGTTTTGCTGGTTTGATCTTGCTTCATCTCGACATGTTCCCCATAACCCGCAAATAACCCAACAGCTTTTTTCCTTCGACGCGTATTAACACTGTAGTTGGATCGTATCACATCGTGCATGATCCCTTACTGGGATAATGTCCTCTTTTGACCACCCAACCTGTGCGCACTGCCTAGCATCAAAAATTGATATCCAGGGTGCCTTCATTTTTACTGCACCATTAAGTTCAAACCCGATGGTATGCCAACCAGCGGTTGGAGGAACAGGTTACTGTCATTCGGAAACTGCAGCCACTTGTGCCTTTCAGGTGAACGACAGCCACTGACCGACAAGAACAAAACCGACCCGGGAGACTTGGGCAATAGCCTCGATCCTGTGTATCAATCCGTGAATCCGTGAACTATATTCCTCTCTGGCAGGTTTTCGCTTGATACTTGTTAGCTATTTGGTTAGCGAACTGCTGCTCAACCGTGGAGCTTGCTTGATAACAGAAGAAGATGAAGATAGACCATTTGTGATTTTGAATGAGACGTTCCTCTCTTTTCTCCCATATTCTCCTGTTACACTTTTGCATTCTTTGCCTGCATTCACCTTTAATGTTGGTGACCATGCGCTTCGAAAATAAGTGATAATAAGATGTTGGTTGCAACATCCTAGCACTCGTCCGACAAATCTAAGAACTGCGGTTATAATGACAAAGGGTTTACACACATGCCAGTTCGATCATCACGTCTAAAACTCTGTGGGCAAGAAACAACTTACTATGTGGGAAAATATATGGTTCAAGACTTTTGTCCGGCTGCATTTTGCATGCGTAATGTGACCGAAAGCCAGAGTGATCTACTTGAATTACGATAGATCTTTTGAGCACTAAAAGGTTGACCATTGTAAGCTTGTGAGGTTTTGGTCTACCGATCTACTGAGAACAGAAATTAAAATAGTAAACAGGGCCGGTCGATGCCCACGAATTAAAATGCTTCCTCGAAAACTACGACTGGTTTCGATGTTACCAAATTACAGGTTTGGATCTCTGCGACATATTCTAACGGTTGTTTTATTTCG